GAATTATTTGTCGTGGGTGGTGATGGCCTGACGGCACAGTGTATAAGAGGTCGAATTCGATTCCGGCAGAGGCTATCGTTGTCTTAACTACAAATTCCTTTGACGCAAGAATTTACCGCTGCTCAGTCGGTATAGCGGTGGAACTCAGTGCCGAAAGAGCCCTGGTTTGAATCGCGGTTGGAATCAGTCGTTTTTTCCTTCTGAGTTTGAGAAACGAGCACCATTTGGTGGGAAGGAAACAACAGACTACACACGATGCTTGCCACAGCTGTTATCGACTCTGCCTTTTAAAGCGAAACACTCCTGGCTGATGATATAAAAATGGATAGTAGTTACTCCGTCATTAACCTTATGAAAAGATGGGCACCGGAACGGCTTCATCATAAAAGTGTGACGAAGACCGATATTCCAATGATTACAAATTTTCATTTCCTTCGTTCTTTCAGAAATCCTCGGTCACTGATATAATTGCACAAGTACTAGGAGGGATGATCTCACAGTTGAGGAACACTGATAAACAGGCTGTTCTTCTGACCAAATGTTTGTTTTTTGTCTGAAGATTCGAAATATAGATTGTAAAATTGGACGTATCTCGTCGTTTATTCTGACGATAATGTAATTTTCTCTAATGTTTTGATATGCACTTTGTATCTTTTAATTTATAGGTACAAGCATGTACTGGTAAAGTCATTCATCTGATTGGCCAGGCCTGTAGTCGTTAAAGTTCTGCAGCCCACAGTATTGGTATAAGTCTTCTACGTTCTGACGTTACCATACAAAATTATTATATTACCTGAGCTGTTTGCAGGTCGTCGAATTGCTGCCCGTTTCTCCACTAAGTTACCATGGTTGTAGCTCAGTTGCTAGAAACCAAACTCGTGATCGCATAGTCGCAAGTTCGAACCCTTGTCATATCGTTTCCTTTCAGTCTTTCTGAGGTAGAAAACATGATGCGACAGGGTGGGAAGGAAATGGGAGTCATTTTTCGTAACGCGTACAGTAGTTATTCAGCGTTAGAGTGCAGCATGTAGGAAGGCATTTCATCTTCATCTTCCATCGACGCTTCTCCCTTCGGGTCGCGGAGGCGGACTCGTCGATAGAGCTTCCAGCGTTCCCCATCTTGTGCCAGAGTCTGAGATTCGGCAGAAGAAAACGAGTCTGAGACAGACTCCTTCCATATATTTGCACGAGGTTCTGCTTGGTTTGTCCTCTGGGCCTTCTGCCGGTCGGTTTTGCAAAAAGCAGTTGCTTAGTCTTCCTTTTTGGAAGCATTCGCAACACATGCCGAAACCATCGCTGCTGTGACTTCTCAATCTGGAGAAGCAAAGGCTCTCCCGGATGTCAGTATCCGGACCATGTCGAGACGCGTAATGCCAGCGATTTGTCTCAGAAAGCCCATTTCAGCCGCTTATACCCGGAATCCAAGTTTTTCACCTTTGGCCTACGATTCATGACCAT